AACTTCAGGGCGAGATGGTAGGAGGAAATGGCCGCCTTGAGTGCGTGAAGGGTTAGCCGACCGATGATGGCATTGTAGGGGAGCCTATCTTAACGACCAAGAGCTCGACCATCATCGTCACCTGTCGAGGCTCTACTCCAGCGTGATTGGTAGGGTCATTATTCCCTTCGGTTTAATGACATTCTCGGAGAAGCCAACGAGTGGCACGTCGACCAGTTGTAGTCGCTTTGTAGCCAGCTTCATCTTCTCAAAAGTATCATGGAAGAGGATGTCGACTGATGATCCGTTATTGATGAGGATACTCTTCACCATGAAATTGGTGATGGTCATCGGCACCACCAATGCGTCGTCGTGGGGCACCGAAACCCCCTTCAGGTCATTGTCCAAAGAGGAAATGACCTCATCTTTCTTTGGTTTCTTGGGAGCTGGCCCCTAGGTGTTGAGTTACTTGGCGTAGGCCTTTTAGGTCGAGGCCGAGGCTCCACCCGAGGTCGTGCCCCAGGCGGTGACGTCGATGACCCCGGCCAAGTTGTTGTTATTGTGCTTCTGCTGCTGCTGTTGTTGAGGCCGATATGCCAGCGTCGCCCCCACATATTCTTTCAAGTGACTACGACGGATGAGAGACTTAATTTCATTTTTCAAGTCATAGTAATTCATGGTGTCATGGTTAGTGTCGTGGTTGTTCTTGTAGTATTTCTTTGGGTTACCCCTCTTAGTGTTCCTCTTCATCTTTTTCTAACCACTTCATGTACTCCTCTTTCCCTACTTGCATGAGGATTTGCATTCGGGTAGAGTTAAGTGGCATGTATTTGTTATAGGTCAAGACTAGCAGCTTCTTGTTGCCATCTTTATTGTTGTTGTTGCTATCACAATTGTCTCCATTCTTCCTCTTCTTCTCTGAACCCCTTCGTCTGGGGTTGGCCTCACCTTATTTGCGCTCGCTGGCCGAGGCCTCCTCGGCGGCAATGTACTTCTACACCTTCTTCAAAATTTTCGCCTTGGTCTTGGGTAATGTATTGGTGGAGGACCACTTGAGGGGTCCGGGTAGGAGGTCGTTGATTGTTGCATGCATGGAGACTAAGGGGTCGAGGTCTCGGACCTCGAGCTCCTCTTTCTTGATGCGGTTGATGTAGGACCGCAGGCTCTTGCCACACTTCTGTTGGATGGACATGAGGGAGACGTGATAACCCTGCATTTTGATGCCAAACATCAATTCAGGGGTATTTTCGGCCTTAGAGTAGTCAAATTGTGTCATTTTCCTAGTTAATTTTAATGTTGTGGCCTCTGAGGGTCTTTGTGCAAATTTTGTGCAAAACTGGGAAGTTTTCATGGATGAAATGCAGATTTTGGGAAGCTGGTGAGAAGTCTAGCTGAGAGAGGGGGTGTTTTTGTGAAAAACTGAAAGCAAGAGGGCGCCTCCTAACTGCTAAACCTAGTTTGGTGCCCCTCCTACTGTATTAGCATGCTCCCCACGCCTTGGCAAACCCTAGGGCGCCTTTTAACCCATTATTTTCACTCGTAACAAACTCTAACCGCCCCTAACTGCTATATCCTCACCTTCCATCCCTTCTAATCTCCGCCATCCATTAGGGCACTCTCTTTTTAGCATTCTAACCGGAGCCACCTAACTTCTAATCTTCAGCATTCAGCCTTTAGCCATTAAATCTCAACCTTACCAAATATTGGGTGCCTTCTCATTTTCTTTTCAGCCTTAGGATCACCCTAAAACCATCCTAACTCTTCATTTTAAACCCTAGGGCACCCATATTTTTTTTTAAAACCCAGCTGCCACCCCCTCTTTCTCTCTATCCCAGTTGTATCCACCTTTCTCTATAAAAAGGACCCAAGGGCTCCTGAGAAAGGGTTGGATTTTGCCCCCAGGTAAGACGAAAGACTGATCTTGAGAACTTCAGGGGTAGAGGAAGAGGAGGACGCCCAAGCAAGAGGAGGGGTTCCTACTTGCAGTTCGCCATACCACTACTACCACCTCTAGAATCGAATCCCAACCACTTTTACTTTATTTTAGTTTTAATTTATGTTTTTTCAATTCTAGTTTCGTTATTTACTTTCTGCAATTTATTTTCATTTCGTTTGATCTTCATTTTATTTTTTGCAGATCTACAATTTGGCCAGGTAAGACGGAAGGCCTAGCTCGAGAAGTTCGAGGGTTAAAGGAGAGATCCGTAGACTGCTACCTCTAATCGGATTACCGATTTTTATTTCATTTCGTCTGTTAATTTATTTCTATATTTATTTATGTTTATGCACTTTTAATTTTCAGTACAGTTCGAATTCTATATTTTTCTCAGTTTAATTAATTAATTTTTATATTTCTGCACTTCCCTCTTGTGTTCTCTTGTCCGGATTTGAGTGTATATTAATTTTTCCCTTGCTTCCTTGTGGATATGACCCGTTCTCCTCCCTTTACTGTGTTGGTAGTTGTTTGAGAGTCGGAAAAAATTAAATGATTAAACTGGTGTTCCAAAGTGATTAATGACACACTTTTGGACACACCAAGACGACGATCTTCAAGCACCATCGGCTGTTGACAAAGTGGTAGAGGAAGAGATTGGTGAACTGTTCCCACGAGCTGATGGAGTGATGTGGAGTCCCGAGAACCATCAGCGGGCTGCCGCCTTTGAGGGTTGCTGGAAAGCTCGGCACGTCAAGACGTCAGAATATCCACATCGGAGCAAGAGCGCTTGGAAGCTTTCTAGGTGGTCGTTCGAGTCGGTGGTTCCATCGTACATTTCAATGTAGGGGATTTGAAGTGAGGTGGGAGAGGCTTTGAGGCGATGGAGTCGGTGAAGGCGTCCATTCTATTGGACGAAGGTTTCTGACTGGCGGAGGCATCACCTCAGCCCTCCTTGATCTGTCGAAGTTCATCTTGCATGGTGCCGATTTACGCTTGTAGGTCATGAATTCTTCTGTCATTAGGGGCATGGGTCTCGTCCTAGTCCTTTCGAATGTGGAATGGGTCAGACTGGTTCCTAGAGTATTCTGACGCGGGCATGTCCTGGTTCCTTCGAGTTCGTTGATTATTGAGGAGTTCACAGAGATTTGATACATGAGAGGGAGAGGCATGACGTCGGCCTCCAGTCCACGAAGGATGTCTGTAGTTGCCAGAGCGCCCGCCGTCGTCCCGAGGGCTCTCCACTAGATAGTGTCGTTCATGGTCCCGATGGTTGTCGTTAGACCCTGCTGGGTTTCCTCCTCGTCGGCTGGGGAGGCAAGAGGTCTTCGACGGCTTGCTAGCGCATAGGCTGCTGCTGTTGGATACAGAAGGGTTGGATCTTTTAGGTCTGACAGGGTGCTGGATCAGTGGAGCCTAGGAAGAGCGTCCACTGTGATGCCCCTGGTTGCCAGCGGGGTGGCTACCCTGTGGGCGGCCTCCTGCTGAACGCCCCACCTCGTCTAGTCTTTGGGTAATATTGTCGAGCCAACCGAGGACCATCTTGAATTGGTCCATGGTGACAAGGTTCTGAGCGTTTTGATTGTTATCTTGATTATTGGCCATTGTGTTGGAAGCTTTGTAGTTTTTTGAGTAAGTGTTCACTTAAGGGAAGTCTTAGCAATCGATTCCATAGACAACGCCAATTGTTGCTGCCTAGGATGGGCTAAGGGTAACAATGTAATTATGCTTCCGTAGACAAGGGCTAGCTGAGTACGAAGGCTTCAAGGTCCAACCTGTGAGCAAAGGAACACGTCAGAGGCCCTGGGTGTTATTCCAGGTGCTGAGACTCCGATGGTCAAGTTTGTAAGTGTGTAACAAGGGGTCGGGCGAAGCCCGAGTAGAGATAGCTCATATGAGGTCACTAGAGAGCTAGGGAGCTTAGAGCAATAAAAGCCAAGATAGCTTACCTAGGAAGTGACACCACTTATTTATAATTGAGCTTGCCTCGAGTTTGTTATTAGTGGACGACTAGGATGCAATACGACCCATGCCACGTGTCACCATCTTGGGCCTGCCATGTGCGCCTAAATCAATAATATATATTAAATATTCTATATATATATATACAATTTATTTATTTAATATACTATAAATTATATATAGCGGGTTTGGACCCGATAGGGTATGTAATGTTTGGACCCAAAACCAAATCAATTGGTTCTCGGGACAATTAAGAACACCCAACTTTTAGCATCAAAGCCTTCAAATCCATCGTTAAATATACCCGATACCAATTTGATGGTTCCGATCAACACCCACTTGCACTTCAATTCTCATATCAGACACCACCATTAAATCCTAGACATTTCAAAATACTCACCCACAAAATTTTAGCTCAATATTCCTCCGTTTACCCTCTCATTAAACCAAGATTCCCTTTTTGAGCCATGTCATAGCCGAAACACTTGCAATCCAGACCCCCTTGATCCAAACACATTTGAGCTAATCAAACATTACATTTGAGACCTAAACACACCGAAACACCACCTTATAAAGTTTTGACCCAAGATTTTCCTGTTTACCCTTCCATCAAACCAAGATTCCATTCTAGATTATCTTATTGACCCAAAATCTTACGATCTTGACCCCTTAGACCAAACCGCCTATAAAATTTCAGCCCAAAACTACCTTTATTTGCCCCTTCATCACACCAAGATTCCATTTTGAAGCCCTAGATTGACAAAACCACTACCCCCCAGATCAGCCTGATTTGGGCCCAATTGGCCACCTTACTGGCCTCGTACAGCCCAAAACTACTCACCTCGTACCGCCCAAAAACCCCATCCTATGAAATTTTAACCAAAACTCCCCCCAATTTACCCACTCATTAGGAAAGATTTCGTTTTGGCCAATCTGACTGGCCCATGCACACCAAACCCGAATCAGCGATCAAACCCATCACAACCCTTCACATTTTGGCCTATAAATCTTAACCATCCACCCATGAATCCCGATTTAATCCCTTAAACCCGGTTGGACCGAAGTTATACTCGATTTGACAAAATTACAAAGCCATACTCCACCTCTGATTCCACTCCGTTTTTCGTCCTTTTTTATCTTTGATCTTTTTTACCCTTCCATTTTCCTCTCCATCCATCGTTCGGTACTGTTCATCTTCCATGACCTCGCGACACCCGAACAGCAGCGGTGCGGCGATCTGCACCTCATTTTCGTTCGGATTTTCGGTGGTTTCTCATGATCTTTTTGAGAGTTTTCTCATCGTCCATCATCCACATTGGTTCTTCTAGTGTTTTATCTCCCCCAATATACCGTACAAGCTCTGTCTCGTTGTTGGTTGAACAGAGCCGACAGGAGCAAGATCTGCCGGAAGTATTCCTCTTAAGTTCAGCATCGTTTCTCAGGCCGAAATCTCGGTTCAGATCCGATCGCAGCAAGATCTGCCGGAACTGTTCACCGAACTCCCTGTTCTTTGTAAGTCTCGTTGTCCAGATAAAATTAAAACGGTTTTGAACAATGGACGGTCCAGATATTGAATTGATCGGTCCAAATGGTCCAAACTATTCATTGAATTGGATTGGACCTGGTCCATTAATGGACTTACAATGGACCGGATCGGATTGGACCAAATCCAGTCCATTTGACACCGCAAGCATAAGCCGCGTCATATTTAAGCTCCTTCCCCTGTTCTTTGCATTTCAGACCGCATTCGCACAGTTGAAGAAAATCACTGAATAGTAGGACTCTCGAATCTCCTCGTCCATCAACAAGAACCGAACAACTGAAACGCAATGGACTGCATGGATCCGACTCGAGCTTTCGTCAAAGACGTTAAGCGTGTTATTGTTAAGGTTGCACTCATTCTCTTCTACTTGATTCTTTATATTTTTCACTTATTGATGTGATTTATTTGCAGCGTTGTGTCTCTAATTCTTTGCCATTGGTCTTTCTTTTCGTAAACCCTATTTTTTTAGTAGTGAACTCTCTGATGACTTACAAAACCGTTATTTCTGATAGAAATGTCAGCGATTTTTTAAGTAAATTTATTTTCTTTTCCTTTGATCGTTCTGCTGTCATACTTTGCTTTTAGTACTAAACTGGATTAGTTGAAAGCTTTATTTGGATTGTGGAAGTTGATATTTTGATTGCATTTACACTTGACTCCAAGATTTAGTGGCGAGTAGAAGAAAGCTTTTCCCCAATTTGAGCTAATAATTTGCTAATACAATGTGGGTAGCGACTGAGAATTTGAGCTTTGTTACTGAAGTCACTAGCTGGCTTGATGGCTAAGGTCATTTGTATCGTCTGCATGTAGAAATTCCCCATTCTTTAGTTCCTACGCTAACGTAATCCACTCTCATACATCAGAGTAGCTCTATGGCTGGTCCCATCAGTATCTTTCTTCAACTTCTTTCCGTTATACATTTATAGTCCAAAAACTTGTACGGAGTGGTTGGGATTACGCTGTTAAGCTAAAGTGGCACAACATTTTGGCTAGATATTGCTTCCAAGTTCACAGATGAATAGTTGAAATGATCAGCGAGAGCATGCTTTTGCTTAAATGCTTTCGCTCCTGCTATTGCAGTGGCCACCATTACTGATTTTATTTAGTTCCGATCAATTTGTGTGTTTGATAAACATTAGGATGGCCATTCTATAAAAGTAGAAGACATACGGACAATAAAAGAGAACAATAATAAAAAACAGTGTGACAGTTTCCCTTATCCAATCACTTGCCAGATAATCCAAGGTAAAAGGGCCTTATTGCATAATTCAATCTTATATGTGACCTTCAATCAATCTAGGAGGCATAACATGTTCCCCTTTCACTCTATTCTTGTACATAATATTTGTTTTAGTAATATTTTCCCTTCGTTATTGATAAAAAAAATCATGTTTGCATATGTTGGATCTGTTGCATAACTTACTTATTTTGCTCAGGATATGTATAGGGGAAGTAATGTCACCAATGGACGTTTTTTCCTTTTCTTAGGAAATTTTATACTTGGTTTAATGTCACCACTCACCAGTGGGTGTTTTTTTTTTATGTTTTTGCATGACTTATTTTGCTCAGGATATGTATAGGGGAAGTAATGCAAATTGAAAAGAATTTATCTTGTTATATTTTAAAGCAGGGTAAAGTTCTTAATCAAATGGGTTATTGTCATTAAGAAACACAAGAATCTTTAAGAATGAGAGCAGCTCTATTGATTTTGTTTTTAAAAGATATTGGGAAAAGTGTTCTCTTAGCTAGCTAGACATAAGCTGTTTCAAACTATAGGTTGTAATTCCTTTTCTTATATACGATAATCTTTTTATAATGCAGGGTTTGGGGGCATAGTGCTGCAGGGGCAGCTTTTGTATTGTCCCTGCATACAGCATCTTGTTGTATGGTTGTACTTGATGCTTTTATTTTCCTATAATAGTATTTCTATACTTCTCTCAAAACGGCCTTATAAAAACATTCTCTCAAAAAAGGGTTATTGTCATTGTTACATCTTTTCCACTAGACTCTAGATTTTGGTACTGGTACTTGAGTAGTTTGATTGTCCCTGTGGATTTTTTAGTTGACATAACTCCATGAATACCATTTGTTTGACTTCTTGCAAGTGCGGAATTCTTTTTTGGTCTTTGATTTCATCAATTAATTCTAGAGGTTTGTGATTTGACATAGAGGCTCCTGTTTTGTTTTGATTATAAAAGGTTGGAACTGCTGTTGTCACCAGAGCTGATGGAAGATTAGCCTTGGGCAGACTAGGAGCACTTTGTGAGCAGGTAACCTGGTTTTTTTTGTTCCTGGTTATTATAGAACTTAGATATTGCTTTACATTTCTTTTATACCCCCAATCAAAGCAGTTTAATTTGGAGCTTGAATGCTACCCTCTTAATGAAATGAACTGCAGATTAAAGAATTGAACTCTCGAGGCTATGAGGTTATTTTGGTTACTTCAGGTGCTGTTGGTGTTGGCCGTCAAAGGCTTAGATACAGGAGATTAGTTAACAGCAGGTTTCCGTTCTTCCTTTCTGCTATCACATTTTACTTTCTCCGAAGGAGAGAAAATGCAGTCTGATTTTTTCTACTAGAAAGTATTAGTGCATATCCTTATAATTTTTTGAGTTAGGCACTAGTTACTTTCTGATTGATTCTTATTAGCTAACTAATGTGTAATTTGGATTAAAGATTTCTGTTATTTGACAAGGAATAGATTGTCAACTGTTTGCAATTTTTTCATCGTTCTGTTTGGGAGTACCATAAGATGAATTGCAACTACATATTTGCAAGGTGCCAATCAGCTGGTTGGTAAGGTCTCCTACAGGTTGTAGCAGAGACTTGGGATCAAATCCCGCCTGCACCTGGGTTGGGGGATGGCCTACCCCCCTGTTGTGTAGCCCTTCAAATGAAAAAAAAAATTGTAACTACACATTTTGACCTAAATTCTATATTGCCTTTTGATTTCATTTTCATAAATTTTCATTCATTCAACTTCCACCTTCGCTTTCTTGTTCATTTTAATTTCTGTTAGGAGCAACTCCAGCTAAAGAATGGCATCATTTGAGAAATAGGATCATTTTAATTACTTTCTTCTGCTCTTTTCAAAGAATTTATTCTCCTGAGCATCATTTGCCTTCTGCCAGTTTCATGGGAAAGTATTGTTTCTTTCATGATTGTCCTGGTGAACATGGATGAAGGTTGACTAGAGTTTTTCTTCTCACTAGAAAATAACATTTTATATCTACTTTCAGCCTACTGTAAAATAAATTAAATATTAGGTATTTAAAGGCCTAGTAAACACAGATAAGAAGATGAAGAAGTTGGTTTTCTACTTTTCTCGCAACTTGACAAACAATGTATATAATGCTCTTCAAAATTAGAAAAATAAAGTGGTGCTACTAGAACAAGCAATGCTTTTTGCACACTATCTTGATGCCATGTTTACAGGCTAATGTTTGTATGTATCCTAGATTAGATATGGTACACAAATTCCCATATGGTAGAAAATAACTATCTTGCTCTTTTGTATTCTTCTAGTAACCTCATCATAGATATCTATCACTAGAAAAGCATCAGAAGGCCTACAAGAATTTATGGTTATTGAATTTATTCCTTCCACCTAACCTTGATTTCTATCTATTACTTTTTGCAGTGTTTCATGTTGGTTCTTTTTTCTTTTTGCATATCTTTTTGAGAGCAAATTCGTGTGTTTAATAGTTTAGTGTCTTTCAAAAGAACATCTTATAGTCTCTATTACCTTCCATATGTAACATTTTGCTTAAATATTTGTAAAAGTATTACAATTTCAAATTTCTGTTCATCGGCATAGGCATGAGAACACTAACACATGCCATTATGAAACTGTCTATTTGTCACTTTGCACCTGTAAAGCGACAATGTGTCTTTTCTGCCATTCAAAATTTGAGTCTTGATTTGGGGGACTCCTAAATTTCCTTTGGAAGATAGAAGACCTTTGATTATGTGCTTATTGCCTACTTCTATATCTGATAAGACCAAGAGCTGCGGAAAACCAAGGCCTGTGCACGGGAATAGCCAGCCTGCCTACCAAGTTTACAAGAAAAGGGAGAAGCCACGTCAGCAAGAATGTAGTCCAAGTGGCTGACTGTTAGAACAGAATAACAGTCCTACAACAAGCTGTAACCATCTTGTAACAGACTGCAACTGTAAACAACTTACCTGTCTATAAAAACCCGAAGAAGAAATAAGGAGGCAGGAATTCCATTTGAACAAATCTCTCTCTCTCTCTCTCTCTTTTTCTCTCTCTCTCTGAATCCCCTTTTTCTTCCCCTCTCTCTGTTTCCCTTCAGTTTCCTCTTCCCTCACGAGCTTGGTTCACTCTACGAACCCTGAGTTAGGCAGCACCTAACAGATTGGTATCAGAGCATGATCAATACGCGATCTACAGCCATGGAGGCCCGAGTTGATCAGGTGGAAGTCGAGCTCCACCGAGTTTCAGGCGAGATACGAGGTATCAAGGATACTTTAACAGAAATCTTGCAAAGATTGGAGCAGAGCCCGCCGGTTGAAGATAGGGAAATTGACCAAGATCGAGTTAGCCAAGGAAGCAACCGAAGAAGCAGCTCCACCCTGGAAAGAAACACCAAACTGAGCTTCCCAATTTTCTCAGGCGGAGACCCCATCCCATGGATATACAGGGCAGAAAGATTTTTTGAATACAACGAGACATCCGGACCAGACAGGGTGGCATTGGCAGCAATGCATTTGGACGGAGATGCCTGGTATCAATGGTACCACCGAGGACATCCCCGTATTTCATGGCTCGACCTCACGGATGCTCTGTGCGTCCGATTCGGGGCTTCCGGTTATGAAGATTTTGACGAGTCTTGCGAAGATAAAACAAGTAGGAAGTGTTTGTGACTACCGATTGGAGTTTGAACGTCTATCGTTGAGAGTCCAAGGGTGGTCAGAGAAGGCTCTGGTCAGAGCTTTTGTGGGAGGACTCAAGGAAGAAATCCGTTTGGAGGTCAAGGTGATGCACCCAGCAACGGTAATGGCCGCGGCAGCCCTACCCTGCACCCAAGAAGAAAAGATAGCTCAAGCCCGACGTCTAAACTGGCCTTGGCAGCAAACGAACAAATCATTTACTGCACCAAGACTGGAAGGGATGGGGTCTGGTAAAGACGACAACATATTAGGCAAACCACCAGGTAACTTAGGCCAGAGTCCCATAATTCCATTCAAGAAATTAATGTGGGCAGAAATGCAAAATCGCCGAGAGAAAGGTCTCTGCTACAACTGTGAAGAAAAGTTTGTCCCTGGTCATAGATGCAAAACTCAATAAGCCTTCCTGTTACAGACTGAGGAGGATCAGCAACTGGAAAAGGATCGTCAACTGGAAAAGGATCGTCAACTGAAGAACATTGGGTGGAGACCATACAACCAGAAATATCGCTATAGGCCTTAGCAGGGTTCTCATCACCCCAAACCATGAGGGTGACGGGTTTAGTTCGGGGTCGCCAGGTGTCTATCCTAATCGATAGTGGTAGCACTCTAAACTTTGTAACCACTGTTCTAGTCAAACGATTAGGATTGCCAGTTCAGCCCACAACCTCATTTAAGGTCCATGTGGCAAATGGGACCTCACTCCAATGCGATGGAATTTGCACAGACATTGGGTTACGCATCCAAGATCAACAATTTCGGGTTGATTTGTATCCACTAGAGTTAAGTGGGCCAACATTGTATTGGGAATTCAATGGTTGTAGCAACTTGGGTCTGTTCTATGCAACTGGGCCCTTTTGTCTATGGATTTCATGATAGAAGGGACAAGAGTACATTTGCAAGGCCACTCAGATAGCTGAGCCAACCCAATAAGCTTGGCATCCATGTTGAAAGAAGCATGAGACCCGAATTATCTCATCATTTGGGGATCAAATCATACAGGCCCAACGCTATCTTAGGCCCAAGATACAACAACTCAAGCTGAATACAAACAGCAGCTCCGCAACATCCTCCAGCAATATGCTGCAGTTTTCAAGGAGCCGACGGACCTACCTCCAACAAGGAATCATGACCACAAAATCCCACTATTGCCGGATGTGCCTCCTACCAATGTAAGGCCCTACCGTTACCCTTATTTTCAAAAACAAGAAATTGAAAGGTAGGTTCAAGAACTGTTGGATAAAAAATTTATTCAACCCAGCCATAGCCCATTTTCTTCATCCGTTCTTCTTGTAAAAAAGAAAGACGAGATGTGGCGATTTTGTGTGGATTATAGGGCACTTAATAATGTTATGGTTAAGGACCGCTTTCCAATTCCAATAATAGATGAGCTACTGGATGAACTCAAGACTGCAAGAATTTTTTCAAAGTTGGATTTACAGGTTGGATACCATCAGATTAGAGTCCATGAAAGTGACATTCCAAAAACGGCCTTTCGGACTCATGATGGTGTTAGACAGTGTATGCCCTTAGATCCAATCAGAATGATGTACATTATGATATTTAATGTAAATGAATGAAGTACATATTTGATTCATGTTATTATGGTGTGTTTCTGTGTAATACCCTTAAACTGGACACATATGAGACTCGTGTTACTTTAGAATCTTCAGCCGTTGGATAGATCTAGGGAGATTTATTCTGCCGAGGCTGACATTGATGTGCCACCAAGTTGGTTGGAGTGGCTTGTCTCAACTGCTAGGGTGAGACCTGAGGTACATGCAGTGTGGGTTTTCTTGAAACCCTGAATCGGACCACAATTCCAGTATTGCCTTGGACCTTGGAGATAGATGGGCAAAACTGGAATGCTACACCTAACCCCTAGATTCGATTATGATACTATACTAGGTGTCGGATTGGGCTGTCTTTGATATGCCAATCAGTGAGATCCTTAGAGGGGTTCAAAACCTGGGTATGTTGGG